AATATGTATTCTTACAGTTGATGATTAATTGATTTACATTTGGAACAAATTTCAATCATGATTTAAGATGTTCATGCCAGTTAACAGTTTTGATTGATTACAATTAAGTAAAATTGACTTGCGATTCTTAATGTTAATCATTTTTAATTAACTTTCACTTCAATTTCAAACACGATGATGATGATTTATATTGATAATAATACTAAAAAAATGATCACAGGGATTGGTGGTAAAAATTGATGATCATGAAAAAAAAAGTTACATGATAAAAGTTCAGTTTTTTTTGAGTGAAAAATTTTCACTGAATAAAAAAAAAGGTATATTCATAAACCATGATAATAATCATGCTCATGATGATGATAGAGTAATAATAATTTTCATGATTCAATTTAGTTTTATCATTATCAAGGTAAAAGTTTAGGATAACGATAGGAACTGTTGATAGAGATGAAAGTTATCATTATTGAAGTTTGACACGAAATCAAATGGTTCATTATCATGATGATGGTGAATAGAAACAAAAAATAGTTCATTAAGTTTGATATAATTTACATTGTATTAGATTATCATGGTTATCTCATGGTGAAAGGATGATTGTGTTCATCATGCAAAAAGAGATGAAGACAAGTACAGAATTGGATTGATTAAGAATGATAAAAATTGTTCTCAGCATATTGTGACCATCAACCGGTGTAATTGTCAACTCTTTTTCTTGTTCAGTAAAAATGTTGACAATCCCATGAAAATTACTCAGATCAGGTGAAGAAGATGAATAAAGTATTAAGATGAATTAAGGTAAAAGCATATCAAGTATTCATTTCCTTCATTCACTATTTCCATTTAATTAAATTTCCATTCTCATCGTTGTTTCACTTGACCATTTAAAGAGGATATTCCAGTCTATTTTTCAGATACTCTTTCTCCATGGTAACATTGTATTCACCTTAATTCAATTCTTATAATTTGGTTGGAGAAAAAAAAAGTTTCCAAGATAAATGTTATTCCATCAAATTATCAGCATTCAAAGTAATGAAATTAACAGAATCTCTTACATGTATGTTATCATTATCATGATACTTTTTTTTACTTTTATTGTGTTGACACTCACAATCTCAGGTTAATTAATCAGAATCTATTTCTCTCTCTCTCTTTTCCAATCAACTGTTATTATTTTGTATCTTTAACTTTGATCATGATGAAAGATTGGGTGAGGTTCTTATTCATTTGAATATGTAAATTAATTGAATTGTATTTATTACCATTATCATTAGTATTATTTAGGAAATTCTGTATCTTGATGATAAATGAAACTATTATCATGGTTATCTGAACTATTATCATGATTCCCACTTTTCCCTGGTAAGAAAATTAATTGATCCCTAGATTTTTCCTTGGGTGTATTTTAATTACCATAAATACCACTATTTGTGTCCATAGTGATTTGAATATTTAATTGATAAACTTTTACCTGAATCAATTGTTGATCATGTTAAACATTTGATTAATTATCCTCAGTAACAGTGATACAAATGATATTATATAATATATTAGATTAATGATTTGAAAGATTGATTGTTTTCACTTTTATTGTTAATTATTCATATTTCTCATTGAAATCATATTAATGTATTTCAAATGAATTGAAATTAAATAAAAGCTAATCAGTTGAGAATCATCAACTCTGATGGTTGATTGATGTTGAAATTAACCAGGGAGATTATTGAATGGGAGTATTAATGTAAGATCGTGGTGGGAATAGGTGAAAGTGTGTGGTTGGTGTTGATTTTCTCGGCGGGGTGGGTAGAAGTCAAAGAGGAAAACGTTTTGGAAGAAGCAAAAACATTGGCAGAACTCTCAATCTCTGAGATCTATCATGGATTTTTGTCTTTTTCCATGGTGGAAAAAAGACTTCGAAAAAAGTTCAATAGTGATAAAGGTTATATTGTTGTTTGTTTCTTTTTCTATTCGAAAACAAAGTTCTGTGTGTGCTCTTCAATGTAACTGGTTTTGTTTACTGTACAAATATTTGACATGATAAATACACGGTGGGAGAGATGAAGGTGGGATAAGGAGGAAGACGAAGTATCAAGTTGTGATGTTAAGACAATGAAAAGGATTCGAAACTGAAAGATAAGTTTTATCAACGATTAAACAGTTTCCAGAACTCAATCGAGAATATTTTTTTCTCTCTAATACCTTCCATAGGAAGATTGAATCATTTTCTCTCTGTTCATGATTATCATCATAAGAGATCTTTAGACGATTGGAAAGTTATAGTTGTATGAAAATTTGTTTTTCGAACTTTTTTTTCTGAAAAGTTCTTAAAACGATAACAAAAGATTCGAGTTGAATTGGATTCTCTCAATGGATCAACATCAATTAGGTTGATGATAAAACCAATTTCTCATCTAAATTATTGATTATCTTCTTGTTTATATTAAGTAACAATACGTAAAACTTTGTAGCATCTTCATCCTTTCTCATTCACTTCCTTCTCATCATAATATCATCTTTTCTTCATCTTGTTTACCCTGATATCTTTCCAATTTATCTTCATCATGATTGAGAAAGATAGAGAGAGAGAGAAACTGAACTTTTCTACTGAACAAGAATATCGGTGAAAAAGTTTACGATCCAAATCTACGCTCATGTAATCCTTAGGGCTATTTACTTTATCCATGTTTACCCTATGGAAGGAAAAATCCCATAGTGTATTTAACATGGAAATTCATTCAAGGAATGAAATTTTCATGGAGAATTTCATAATCGATTGTATCAGAATTTTTTGCTTCCATCAGAGTTACGACTAATTCTTGGGCTTAATTGTGGTCGTGATGTGAAAAAATATGATTAATTCATTTGTGAGAAAGTTAATTTCAATTTCTTCACCTCATAGACTAAGATGTTTGATTAATACTTTCTAAGAAAAGAGAGAGACTTTTCTGTTCTTCCATCATCTTTTACCGTTCTCTCAGCGTAACCTTAACAACAACATTGAAGTTCCTCCACAAAAAGGTTATTTATTTTACTTAATTCATCAACAAATTTATGTACACATTATATGAACCTTCAAGTTATCGTGTCTGTGAGTGTGTGAAGATATGAAGATAATTCAATAGAAACCGGAAGTTGATATTGAAAAAGACAGGAAAATATATCAATCTAACTTCATCGTCATCTTATTATAAGGCGACATGAAGATAGACTGGAAAAGGGTATCATCTCTTTTTTTTCATCTTCTCAGCCTTGATTTTGATTCTGATTGAATGTGAAAAGGGACAGGAAAAGGAAATAGGAAATAATAGTTTTAGGTGTTGCATCTGTGAATTGTATGTGTGTGGTTGATGAAAAAAAAAGTAAATATTTAAAAGGTAATCAAGGATTAATGATGAAATAGTCTCTACTAATTAAGATGCTAAATGAGTTCACTCAGAATCCTTAATTGTTACCATCATCTTGCACCTTAATTAGACAGTTGAAAGGTTTCAGTATTATAATTATCTTGTAATAATTAAATGATGATGATGATGATTAAGCTTAATGCAAATGAAAACATCATTAAGACAAAATCAATCAAATAAGAAATTAACTGCTTGATAATAATCAAATTTTGTCTTGAAGATGATGAAATTTGAAGTAAACAATTTAATGTTACAACTTTCAGTTGAAAGCAATATACAAACAATTAACATCTCTCAGGATAATAAACAATTTAAATTGTCTCCAGTTAGTTTGATTTAATTACCTTTATAAAGGATAAGGATGCTAATGATGAACGGAAACTTTTCATTTAAAACAGTTAATCAAAATTAAGATTTGCTTAGTATCCTAACTTAATTTTCACTGATTCAGTTCTCATAATTATATTAATCATATTATCATTATCATTAACTGTTAAAACTATGATGATGATGATCATCTTAATATTATTATCATTGCCAAGCATCTTGTCAACCTTTCATAATTAATAACTCAAGGGTAAATCTTGGCTAATTAGGTTGACACGTTTACACTTGAATTGTTACTTATATCATGTTATCATCATTACCATGAACACATTGGTAATTATCATGATGATAATGATTATTATTATGATACTCTCATGATAATACATGATGATATCAAATAATAGAGAGCAAGAATTGTGTACAAACTGATAAATTTATCACAATTAAAGCATTTTGTTGATTAAATTTTACCTACACAAGAATTGAAAGTAATAGTTTACAATTAACTAGATTAATTCCTCAAGTATTTTCATGATAAGTTTCATGATAGATTGAAGTTCGTGATTAATTTCAAAGATACGAATCAAGTTATATTTAAGATTGATAACATTATTACTGTTCCATAGAGAATTGAGAAAAGAGGAAGTTGACTTGTGATTTCTAAAGGTTTCAAAATGTTCATTTCTATCATGATAATGATGACATTTCATGAGTAATATCCTCAAGAATAACTAACCACTCCTTTTACTTGGTAAATCACTTTCTTCTTGCTTTATTTTAATATATCGAAAGTCAATAAGTAACAATAGTTTTCGAGTATGTTTATAACAATGTATTGTTTGAATTTAACATTCTCATGACTATGTTTACATAGACCGAAAGTTATTCATTCCAGAGATTGAATCTTTGATCCTGAATTTATTTATATAAAGTTCATGATAGTCTCAGATGAGTTTCTTTACCCTCATTCAAATGAAATACATTCAACATATCAGATTTTGTTTTCACCGACATCATTGTAATAAGATAAAAAGGTTTGACCTTATATACCCAACAGGTAACATGGTGAACGATATTTAAAGGTTATTATATCAATGAATGAACTTTATCCTTGAATTTCATTCTTACCGAATGATATTTATTGTGGTATAATTAAATGTTCCAAATATTCTGAGTAATTTTTTATTTTTTGTTCTCTTTCATATCAATTGACAACAATTGGAAAAAAATATTCATCATTTGGCTCGTACCTGATTTAAACCTCGAATTTAGATCTTCCGTTTCAAAAAAGTTCATTCTATCATGAAGGTAAGATTCATTCTTTTTTTCTTAGTTTTCTCATATCAAATATTATCGATTTAGAAACTTTTTCTTCGGTTTCGTGATAAGTTCTAGTAAGATATTAGAGGTTATAACTGTCTCTGATTGGGGGTATTAATACACTGATTATTTTGTATCTTTTTGGTTTCTATTATTTGATGGGAAATATTGTTTTCTTTGCTTTGATTGTTTACATTATCATCATACCAGAACTTTGTCATGAAAACTTCCGGTTCAATATGGAGAACGCCTTCTGGACATAATGACCATTGATAGATAAACAAGGAAGTACATATAGTAGATATGGGGCTATAAAAATAAAGAAAAGTTCTAAAGAAATTGATTCTATTGAAGATCTTATTTTTTTTCGAGTGTTTTTTCCTTTTTTTCCCTTTAAGTGTATCTGTATTAGAGATTCTTATTTCCTAGTGATCACTTGAGTTCATCTGAAAGATGATGATGATGATGAAGATGAGAATAAACATGTAACAATTGTAGAAGGAAAATAGAAGAAATTTGAGAGAATTCTAATCTTATCCAGAACTTGTGAGAAATAAATCTAAAAACAACAACTTTTAGAGGGAAAAGCTGAAAAAATTTCTTCGAAAATGATCAAAAGTTCCAAAGTTATCTGTCAAAATGAACGAAAAGAGAAAAATATAACATCAACCACAGAAACCTTACCATTATTGACCACTAACTGACCATCCAGATAAAGATATTAAATCATAATAGTTTAAATTTTTCGAGTGCTACTGGTTTGAGAATCGCAAAGATATTGCAATGAGATAATTCAAACAATTCTCATGAAATATATTATTGGAATTCCTGAAGATCCCTAACCAAATAAGTTGAGTTAATAATATTTTATATACACATTTAATATAATATTAAGCTCTCCCTTTCTCAATGCCCTGAGGGTAAGTTTTCATTTAGTTTATTATGCTGTAAAAACAAACCCATAAAAACTTGACCTGTGTAAAAGTTTGTTAGGTTTTTCACCCTAAAGGGTAAAAGTCCCAAATTCTGAGTTTTATCAATGTGATAATATTAAATAACCTTCATGATGTTTATTTGAAATAATCTTCAGTATGTACATGGAATCACAGATATTACATATTTCCACCCTTGGATTTACCATGAGAGAGAGAGATAGAAAATGAAATGAGATACAACAACGAATCAAATGAACTTTCATATATTTAGAAATCAAAATATAATCTTTTCTCTATTTCTCTTGATATTTACAGGGTCTCATTGTTCTTGTGCCTTTGGTGGTCGCTGTAGTCCCGATAGCTATTCAGATAACATTGCATCAATATGTCGCTGTGATAACTTTCAATGTGATTCAACTCCCATTGAGCCCATTTGTGCAAACGATAATAAAACTTATAACAATTTATGTCAACTTAATTTAACTTCATGTAATCTTCAACTACCTTTGACCGTCCAATATAAAGGTACCTGTGATAACGGTAAGTGGTCATTTCATTTATTGTCCATCATTAAAGGGTTATCATGACTCCTATGGCTCACATTTATACACATTAGTACAGAATCAAATTGAGAAATGATGATAATATAATTTTAGTTTCGATTCATATACCTAAACAATTTATCATGAAATGATTAACTTGATGATTTAGTAATCATGGAAATGGGAGTGAGAATGAAAATATTTTCTGATATTGTGAAATTTTCATCCACGATTATTTAAATTGATCATCTGATTATCTTATGTATGTGTCATTGCGTGATAATCACAATTAACTATTATCCTTGTTAATTGTTTAACCAATAAATTATCATCATTATCTTTAATATAATCAAATTTTCAGTCACAAATATTAGACATATATAATTATCAGTTGAAGTTGATTAATTTTACTTTTTTTTATCAAATTAATCAAAAGGTTAATCATTGATAAAATGAATATCAGTTAATTGTTACAGTAAATTTTTTCCCTTCTAACCAATTAATCTGTTGTTGTTTTCATTGTATAAACACAATTTAAGTAAATAATACAAAACATTGACTTCTATTGTTGTTATATTAATATAACGGTAAATTTTCAATGTTGTATTTTAATCTTGATCAGTATATTTGATGAGACATGTATTAAGCTTGGTTAGTTATGGCATTAAGGTTGGATTTAACTACGCTTGGCTAATAAACCAAAGCTAAAGGTAGAGGTTGATGATGATGATGATAAGGATGATAACCCAAAATAATATCCAGGTAAAGCTACTCATAAGTTTCATGTTTCCATGGTTGATAAAACATATCTACCTTTTTTTACATGGGCCTTTTTTCAACTTTATCATTATCCCTCCTACTTGACTTTTCAATGGCTTCCAATTGAATGAGGGCAAAAACAAAAGCCTTATCATCATCTTTGATTACTAATGATGATGATGATGATGATAATCATAATTATCATCTAATGTTGTTGATAGTTTTATGTATCAAATCAATATACTGTTTTCGTGGTCAATTTTTCTGGTTCTCTGGTCTTTTTTCAATGAATCTTCATTGGGTGTTACTCATTTGAGAAACTGATTTGTTTATTATGTGTAAATTTGTTAATCGTGTGATTAACTTAATGATCTTTGTAACAATTTAACTAAATTGTTATGTGTATACAATGTAATATTTACACTTTGCCAGTTCTAATCATGATTATCAGCTTATGAAACTTTTTTGTGCAATTTAAATTTCAAATGATTCATTTTACCTTAAATTTTATTAATCGTAACAAATTATTAATGAATTGAGTAGTTATCATGATAATTACTATCATAGTGATTAGTATCTAATTTCAATTGATTGTTTGTTGGCTTATTTCAATTCTGATTGTTTGATTAACTTTGATTGTTGTTAGTAATTTGTTTCTGTCTATTTATTAATAAGGTTACAATTCTTAATTCTTATTGTGAAAAACAATCAAAAAAAAGTTATGAGGTTTCATCTTAATCGTAGCCTTGTAAGTTTTTTCTTGTACCCAAATATCATGAATACCCTGAGTATTCATTGAGAGTTTATGGGAAAAAAAGTCTCGAAATGTTAATATAATTTAAAGATCATGTAAATATTTTTCAGAATATCAAATTGACGATAAACTCGATAAGGTTTTTTTCTCTGAATACTCAGTTGAATGAGAATCATGAAAAATTGTGTGGTCCTTCATAAATGAATGGAAAATCAGTGAAAATAAAAGTTTTCCAATGAATTTCCATTGATAAAAAATGTTCACCATTTCACGAATTTGAGTTTTACCATGAAATGTACGATTCTATCCTTTAGTAACCATCATTCTTCTCATGTTATTCATTGAATTCTTGAAGAAAACTTTTCCTATCATCTTCATCTTCCAAATGGTTTATAATTGAAGAGCAGAGGAAAAAGGAAACAGTTCAGTTCCTATTGAGAGAGAGACTTTTTTTTCATGGTTATTTTAACATTCAGTTCAGGTTTTATGACAGATCAATGTAATATCATCATGATGATTATCATCTTCTGTCTTTTGTTGAAACTTTTCACTCGAAAAGACCAAAATGAAATCATTTCATCAACTTCACCTTATTATCATGATAACCATGATGATGAGAAATTAATTCTCAATTCAAGTAATCATCTTGAAGTATTTCAATCAGTCGACACCTCAGAATCAGAACTTTTCATCCCTCTTCATTTCATGATAGAAATCAATGTAAACCTGTTGATCAATCAACTATTTCAATGTTAACTAATTAAATTGAATTTCGATAAATCTAATCCTTAACAATTTAATGATTAATTGTATAAATGTTGCCTCTTAAGTGATTATCTTGATCAGAATCAGTGAAAAGTTTCATCGTAAAAATTATTTAATCTGATAATTTTATCAAATTAGTCGATGAATGAAAACTAATCATGATAATTACCATTGATTATCAACACGATTACAATTAAATCAATACTTTCAATGTTATTTCATAAAAGTCAACGATTTTAATAGAGTCTGAAATGATTAACAGTTATGTAAATTGTTGTGATGATAATCAAATTAATAATGACTCTAGTTAATCACAAATTTAGGTTACGATGATAATTAGATTCACTCATCATTCAGGTAACAATTAAGCTTTAAAAATGTTACCTTGTTTAAGATCAAACAATTAATATCACAATGATCAAGTAATTGATTAACAAGAGTAAAGGTTTAACTTGATTAGTGATTTGATTTACTTTGATTGTTAATCATTCATATGTGATATAAAATTGTTGTTTGATTAACAAGTTGATTCACTAATCACCCTCAGGCTATTTCATTTAATATTTATAATAATGATCAAGACTAAATTTAGTTAATCAAATTTACATGATTCAAACTTTGCATAGTCAAAGAAAAAGTTAATTGAATGATTACAAACTTATCGATTGAAAAAATCCTCTCATGATTTATCATGAATAAATCCTGAATTGTGATAATAAAAAAAGTTCAATAGTTTATCATTCTGATTGTGATCATGATAAATTAACAATTACTATTATGCTGATTGAATATATTGTCCATTGTTGAAATGTACTTTACATGGTAACTAAATTATTACTTATCGACTGAAAATCATCTCAATGAATCTGAATAAAGAAATTTATTATTAGCATAAGATGAACAGGTCATTCATGATATTGAACATAAGTATATGAGTATATTAATAGTAAGACGATGACAACAATCAATATTGTCAACCTTTGATAGAGCTGAAAATATTTCTAATAATAATAATAAAGAGGAAAGGTAATAATAGAATCCATTGAATCTGAATCAATGAATCATTTAATGAAAAAAGTAACGACAATTATTAAATACTCATGAATGAATTTACGTTAAATGCTGATGAGTATGTTATTGTTATATTTAGTTACAGATTATCAATGTTATTGTTATGTATTGGGAGGTAAACATTTTCAATAGAAGAAGAAAAAATTATCAACTGAAAGTGAATATGAACATCTTTTTTTTATCATGAAAGATTGAGAAATACTCAATATATATTACATGGAATCGGTCAGAAAGGTTGAAGATGTTTACTTTTTTGTTCATCGTGTAATATCAATTTACCTTGGGCACTTGATGATAGAGGAGGAATTCAGTGAGTATGATGATGATTTTTCAGTGAGTCTCTTTCATTGAATTCATGTAGACGCTTTCAATGGTTATTATTCAAGTCACATGAGTTTCATAGAGGATGAACATGAAAAGCTCAATGATGATGAGTTTAATCATTATGTTAATGATGATGAAAAAATAGAGAGAGAGAGAGAGTGAGAGAGAGTCAAGGAGAGAGGAAATAAAATATTATCATCCTTTTTCAGTGTGTCCTCATTTTCAGTTATTTTCATCATCATCATTATTATTAACGCTTACAACATGAGAATCATGAGAATCCTTAGCATTCTCAGTTTCCATTTTTTTTCTAAGCAGAAAAAAACTTTGATATTATCATCACATATTCACTCCCACCTACAATCCACTCTCTCTCTCTCTGACTTGTTTTCAGTTTGTGGTCAAATTTCCTCCTCCCTAATACACCACTAATCCGCCTTGACCCACCACAATCCTAAATCACCATCATCATTATCCATTAAATGACAAAGTTCACCAACTCAAACCTATTCATCTGATTCAACTAATCATCATAATCATTATTTTTATATTATTATCATGATAATCTCGTCTAGTTTATTAAAAATTGTTACAACCCCCATTCCACATCACCACATCTCCTAATCATCATGAACACAATCATGAAGAGGAAAAAAAAATTCCTAAACTTTTTTTCCTCCATCACCAATATCCTTTTACGTTTCCTATTGAAATTTTATTCTGATGCTCATTAATTATTACTGATAAAATGATAGCTCATCATCAAGGATGTTCAAGGTTATTTTTCATTGTATAAACTTGGAAATACAAAATATATATTCACCATGATGATGATCATGAATAAGGAAGTAAAAAAAATAATAATATTCGATATTCAATTTTAATGAGAACAATTTTTGATCCATATTCATATGTAATATACAATATCAACCTCAATAGTTTATTACGATGCTAGAAATGTTGATTTGTATTATCATGATGATTATTGTGAAACAATTTAACCATAAATCCTGAAATATAATCATCTCAACCATGATAATGAAGGTACAAGGGAATAAGTTTAATAATTTCAATTGATTGATACATTTATCTGATTATCATGATAATCTAATGGATTCAATTTTATTGTTCATCTCATGGAAAAATTTTCATTCATCAATCTTGTTATATCCAGTTGATTATTTTCAATCACTTTAATCCAATATATTAATTTTACTATTCTGTTTACGGATTGTTTCAATTACTTAAATACAGTTATTAACTATTACTTATATTGTATTTAATTCATTGATTGTTAATCCTTTCCTTTGGATCAGGAAACCTTA